TGATGCTCTTCACAGCAGGGTGGCTTTGGCTAGTCTGGAGTTCCTGGATTTGCCATCTGTCCCACTGCCTGCCCCTGTGGAGTCCCAGTGCCGAGGGAGAGGGAAGTGAAGGTGTTGGGAGGGCTCCCAGCTGACGTGTGGGTTTGTTTCAGGTCCTCATTGAGGATACAGATCAGCTGTGGCACAATCACTGCCTCCGAGACTTCAAGAACGAGAAGCCAGAGGAGTTTGAGTCCTGGCGGGAGATGTACCTGCGGCTGCACGACGCGCGGGAGCAGCGCCTGCTCATGCTGGCCAGGAACATCGGCTCGGCCCACGCCAACAAACCCAAAGGTGAGCAGGGCTGAGGGATCACAGGGGTCTGGGAATGCTGCCCGGGGGATAGCTGTGTCTTGAGATGGTCTTTTGGAACGACCGATTTAAATCCAGTCCAAGTTAGGAGTTGCTCTGTGTTCTTTCTGTGGTGGCCTTTGCTTCACAGCTTAGCAGGCTCTTGGTTTCATCTGTGGTGTTGATGCAGACTAGACATCTAGTTGATGCAGAGGCATCTCCTGCTCTGGAGTGGCTTCTCCATGCTGGGGCTGAGGAATACTGGTGTGGGGGGAAGTGTTCCTGCTCCTTTGGTGAACATACTGAGAATGACTGACTGATCTGATCAGTCTGATTTTTCACAGCCCCTGTTGTGACCGTAAGAAGCTCAGATCGTAGGGAGGAGGCTGTTACCAGAGCTTTGGAATGGAAGGACTGGGGAGAGGAGAAGTGGTTGGAGATTGATCTAACAAGACAAGCACTGAGGAGCCTCCTTTATAGTAAGCAGGATCTAAGCAGTGTTTCCTCTGGCCTCCCACAGGTAGAGTGGCCAAAATGGCATTTGTGAACTCTGCAGCGAAGCCCCCGCGGGACGTACGACGGAGGCAAGAGAAGTTTGGAACTGGAGGACCTCTGCTGCCAGAGAAGACCAAGTGAGTGTTTCTAAGTAGCACTTGGCCGTTCAGGGGCTCTTTTCCTGTGGGCTCCTGCCAGCTTCCCCCTGAAGCTGTGTCCTGCCAGGAAAGGCCACTCAGCCCGAGAGGCCCTTTTGCAGTGCAGCTTGTAGCAGTAATAGCTTCTTTCTTGCTGGGAGATCCTGCTCACTGCTGGTTCTGTGTGGTGTCAGCCATGCTGCTGTTAACAGATGTGCCTTGTGTCTGAAGAATTGCACCAAACCACAGTGACTCCTTCACTGAAATGTCTGTCCCATCTCTTGCAGAATAAAACCAGTCCTGTACACATCTGGCAAAAGCCAGAGTCGTGTGAGCGAGGAGCAGTCCTACGATGGGCCCAGCACCAGCAGTGCCCACTCTGTCCCAGCTTCAAGTAGCACCTTCTCCTCCTACGACCCCAGGAAACCACCAGTGAAGAGTAAGTACAAGCTGTAGAACGTCCATGGGGTCTCCTGCAGCTCCTCCTTTACAAGCACACAAATCTGCTTCTGCTGCAGGAGAAATCCAGGCTGTGCAGGAGGGTTGGTGTTGGTGGCCTCTCTCCTCTCCCTAAGAGAGGGTGATAAAAGTCCATTCAAACATCCTGTACAAGAAAAAGCCCAGGGAAGGCTCTGATTCACCTGCCTGCTCAGTGCTGACTGGATCAGCCTGTCCTAAGGGGACTCAGGAGACAGAAGCTCTGCCTTTCCTCATGTGTCTGTCCACAGGCTGGAATGGTCACTCTGTAGTGCAGCTCCCTGGGGAGGGGAGCAGGGGGAGTTTGACCAGGGATCTGTGCTCTTGCAGCACAGACAGCAGAGCGGGCTCTCCTCGCTCCAGGACTTGAGGATATGAGTAGAGCTGATGCCTCCTGTGAATCTGCTCTGCCAGGGCTGCAGCTCTGAGCTGCTTTCCTGTGACTGCTGCTTTCACGTGGAGAGTTTTTAGTTTGACTTAGTTTTTTTCCTTTCTCTGTTGCAGAAATTGCACCCATGATGGCAAAGACTATCAAAGCTTTCAAAAACAGGTTCTCTAGGAGATAAGTTTGCAGTGCAGATCTGGGACTTGCCTGCTCGTGGGGGAGTGGCACTGACAGGGCAGAAGGTACCCAAACAGCCCTTGTCTTTGAACTCTTCGGAGGCTGCAGCTCCTGGGAGAAGCTTCGATCTGCACAAGACAACAGCACAGTATTTTATCTTTTATTCTGGTCCCTTTCTCAGTGTCAAGCCCCTCTCTTGCTCCCCCAGCCCTTAACGTCCTGTTTCTGGCTTTGTCATCCCTCAACAGAAGGGTGTTCAGAATCTCCCGACACGAGAAAATGTGAAGTCTTGGCACCTGCTGAGAGTGGAAGATCCAGAGACTATTTACTATTTAACCTTTTAATAAATTATAAAACGGTTTTAGTTAATATTTTGCCCCTCTCTCCCACTGGTATTATTTATGTCACTCCCAGTAGCCTCCCCCTTCCCAGTCCAGTACAAGGGCCAACCTCTGTGTGACTCAAGCTGGCAGGAATCCATCTGTCAGAGTGGACACTGGGTGTCACCCGAGTCTCTTCTCATGATCTGGTACCTGCAGGGCCCAAAGTGCCACCTGGACTCTCTGGGACAGGTGGCACTGGTGGCCCATCTGCTCTTTGATCCTTTGGCAGGCACATCAAGTCCTGAGGCTTTGCTCTCTACTCGTGGATGTTCATAAAATTTTAGCTCTTGCCCTTCTCTCTGCTGTTACTGTAGGTCTTGTGCAGATGCTTATGTTGTTGTGCAGGGATGCCAAGAGCCATTGGGGACTCTTCCTCTGCTGCTGTTGTCTTCTGCTGGCTACTGGGAATAAAACTGAGGGGTTTGGGGAGGAATTTTATTGTGCAGCAAGTCAGATTTTAACTTTTTTTTAGAGAGAGAGAAAGAGTTAGGGGACTTGCCTCTGGAACTGAAAGCAGTTTTTAAATAGCAATGAAGGCATCAGTTTGCCTCTTTTAGTGAAAAGAAGGAATACTTCTGCCTTGTTTTCTGTGTGGCATTGGGAAGGATTTATTTCCAGTATGGAAGATGGTGCTTAAGTCCTGTCTCTTCCCTGTATGTTTTCCTCTCTTTGCAAAAAGCAAAGATTTTAGTCTTTGTACCTGAAACCATTTGACTGGGCTTTGAGGGAAGCAAAGAACAGAACGTGGTTGGGTTTCATCATGTGTGTACTTCACAGCAGGAGTTCAGAAAGCTTGGCTGTGCTTGGAGCCTGAGGAGCTGGAAGGAGAAGGGGGGTGATGCTGGTGGAAGCATGTGGAAGTGTCCCCAGAGCACAGCTCCCCTGGGGAGGTGTGATCTCAGCTGGGCTCGCTGAGAGCAGGGAGCTGGCCACAGCCAGGCACTCACCACTCGTAGGGAGCCTTAGTGTGGTGCAGGCTCGTGGGGGACATCTGCCTGCAGAGCAGATTTACCAGGAGGTGGAGCTGGGGAGACCCAGGTGATGTGGCCAGGGAGCCGGGCTCTGTTAGGGATCAGACAGGGGAGAAGTTCTCCTGTTCCAAGCCATATTTGCTGCCCTGGGACGTGGCTGTCTGGGTGGAAGAGGTGCTGGTAGTGGATGCTGTAGGTGGTGGCAGCTTTTGAGAGGTTCTGCTGCTGAATTTCTGTGGCTGCCAAATCCCAAACCGGTGGAGTTGTCTGAAAACCTTGCAGTGAAGGGTCCTCCCTGGAGGGCTCTAGAGAAGTCCCTGAATGCTTCTGGTTTCTGTTGGTTTCTTTCTTTTTGTCCTTTTTTTTGTTTTTCCTTTCTTTTTTTCTCTCGATCCATTCTGAACTCTTGTCTCTTGTTTATTTGGTCTGTTGTTATTTTGAAGGTCTTGGAAAAATGTTCTCAGACTCTCATGTGCTGTAAGTTTGTTACAGTCCCAGATGCTTTAACGTTACCGTGCAGCATTTCAAGCGTGTGTTGTGCTGTAAAATAATGGCTCCTTACTCTTGCATTTTTTGCTGTATTTAATTTTGCTGTATTTTTAATTAGATAACAATATATTCTCTTCTGCTGCCTGTTGTGCTACCATTTATTTCTCCTCTGTACTTGGGGTAGGGGCAGAGGGGAGGGAAGGGGAGCCTGGCATTGTGTTAAGGCCTACGCAGAGCCTTGAGCAAAGGCTCCTGGTGAGGCCTGAGAACTACCTTGGGCACTGCTCAGTTGCCACTTAATTAACCCAGCTCAACCCTGAGCTGTGGGCATTGCCCAAAGCACCACTGCTGCAGGGCCACGCTCCCTCCCTTTTTGCCCCAGCCTCTTCCCCCTCGGCTTTGCAGCCGTGTCTGTGTCTGAGCTTTGCTGGGTGGTGGGGAGGGGATGGAGAGGCTCAGAGGGGACACTGCTCGGTGCTGATCCCTTCCCACCCCTTCCTTTTGCTGACACTAAACTGGTGCAGAAAGAAGGGGTGGGGGCTGGACCTCAGCTGGGAGGGCAGGAGAGCTGAGTTGTTGCTTCTGTGAGACACGAGCTAAGCAAAGTCTAGGGTCGAAGGCCTTGCTCCCTTCCCAGTCTGGTGCAATCTTTCTGTGCTACACTACACACCGAGGGAGGGAGTGGAAAAAAAACGTCCCTACCACGGGGGGGGGGGGGGGGAGCTGCCTCTTCCCCCTTGGCTGCCCCGCTGGTGATGGGATAAGGAAGGTGGGCAGGAGGGGAAGGACTTGGACTTGGCGTTTGTATTTTGGTCCCCAACTTGTGTATATACGATTTTCTATGTTCCTTTTTTTGTGGTAACGAAGAGGAATATTTTAATTAGATAAGTTATATGAAAAGAGGAAAATCATGTCTCAATAAAAGCCAAACACTGGACTGTGCCTGCTTGTTTTCTTCTGGCTCTCCCTCATAAACGTGTTCCATTTGACCCGGACCCTGGGGCTGCTGGGGGGATCCTGGCTGGGCGGTGGGCGG